GAACCACAGCTGCCTGGCTGGTACGTTTGAATTATTTTCAATGCAATGTCATCATATTTTCTGCATTGTTAATTCACCTTGTTTTTCAATATTGCATCAAACAATAACCAAAATGGGGTTTTTTTCAACCTATTAATATGCTCATTCCTGAGTTTGATGTGCTGTAATAGTTTCACTATTGTCACCATGTTTGATTTGAAAGTCAATCTCCATTCTCTACACTTTCCCTTTTGCTTTTTATCCGTCGAAGTTGATTTTTTATGCTTTCTTATCTTTTTTTTTTTTGCATTACTTTTTAGTCTTGGGGTTTTCATGAGTTGCTTTCTTGTATGAAAAATCAATATAGACAACATATAAACACTGAGAATGTGTCCTAAAAGAATCAATCCAATGTCATTATCATGAAGTCTAAATTTGATAACATTTATGGCTATAAAAACAAAATCAACATTGAAACTTAAATTGAAAGCAAGAGAAGATGATTAACTAAGATTTTTCATTCAAATTGATTCAGAATATGAGAACATTCACAGCAATCGCAACAAAAATCAACATTGAAACTTAAATTGGAAGCAAGAGAACATGATTAACTAGGGATTTCAGTCAAATTGATTGAAAACTTGAGAAAATTCACAACAATCATGTCAAACTCAATATTGAAACCTAAATTAAAATCAAAAGAATATGATTAAGTTCGGGTTTTCACTCAAATTGACTAAGAATCTGAGAACATTAACAACAATCGTACGAAAATCAACATTGAAATCCAAATTGAAACCAACAGAATATGATTCACTAAGGTTTTTAACTCAAATTGTCTAAGAATCTGAGAACATTCACAAGAATCGTACCAAAATCAACATTGAAAGCTAAATTGAAACCAGAGAATATGATTCACTAAGGTTTTTGTCACGACCCAAACCCGGCCCTATGGGTTTAGCACCGTAACCGGCCAGTAATCCGAGATTACCGAAGGCCTGCAGAACAGTAGAATAATAACAGAGTACAGGGCCTGGCGGAAGCAACATTCACAGGAATCGTGCCAAAATCAACAATGAAAGCTAAATTGAAACCAAGAGAATATGATTAACTAAGGTTTTTTACTGAAATTGATTGAAAATATGAGAACATTGACAGCAATGGTACCACACTCAACATTGAAAGCAATAGGATATGATTAAGTCCAGGTTTTCACTTAAATTGACTAAGAATCTGAGAACATTAACAACAATCGTACGAAAATCAACATTGAAACCCAAATTGAAATCAAGAGAATATGATTTACTAAGGTTTTTTACTCAAATTGTCTAAGAATCTGAGAACATTAACAACAATCGTATGAAAACCAACATTGAAACCTATATTCAAACCAAGAGAATATGATTCACGAAGGTTTTTTACTCAAATTGTCTAAGAATCTGAGAACATTCATAGGAATCGTACCAAAATCAACATTGAAATCTAAATTGAAACCAGAGAATATGATTCGCCAAAGTTTTTTACTCAAATTGTCTAAGAATTTGAGAACATTCACAGGAATCGTGCCAAAATCAACAATGAAAGCTAAATTGAAACCAAGAGAATATGATTAACTAAAGTTTTTCACTCAAATTGATTGAAAATATGAGAACATTGACAACAATGGCACCACACTGAACATTGAAACCTAAATTGAAAGCAATAGGATATGATTAACTAGGGTTTTTTATTCGAATTGATTCAGATTAAAACCCAAATTGAAACCAAGAGAATATGATTCAATAGAATATGATGAACTAAGGTTTTTCACTGAAATTGTTTCAAAATAAGAGAACATTGACAGCAATGGTACCACACTCAACATTGAAAGCTACATTGAAAGGAATAGGATATGATTAAGTAGGGTTTTTCACTTAAATTGGTTCAGAATATGAGAACATTCACAGCAATCGCAGCAAAATCAACATTGAAACTTAAATTGGAAGCAATAAAACATGATTAACTAGGGTTTTCAGTCAAATTGATTGAAAACTTGAGAAAATTCACAACAATCATGTCAAACTCAATATTGAAACCTAAATTGAAATCAAGAGAATATGGATTAAGTCCAGGTTTTCACTCAAATTGACGAAGAATTTGAGAACATTAACAACAATCGTACGAAAATCAACATTGAAATCCAAATTGAAACCAAGAGAATATGATTCACTAAGATTTTTTTACTCAAATTGTCTAAGAATCTGAGAACATTAACAACAATCGTACGAAAATCAACATTGAAACCCAAATTGAAACCAAGAGAATATGATTCACTTAGGTTTTTTACTTAAATTGTCTAAGAATCTGAGAACATTAACAATAATCGTACGAAAATCAACATTGAAACCCAAATTCAAGAGGATATGGTTCACTAAGGTTTTTTACTCAAATTTTCTAAGAATTTGAGAACATTCACAAGAATTGTACGGAAATCAACATTGAAAGCTAAATTGAAACTAGAGAATATGATTCACTAAGGTTTTTTTACTCAAATTGTCTAAGAATTTGAGAACATTCACAGGAATCGTGCCAAAATCAACAATGAAAGCTAAATTGAAACCAAGAGAATATGATTAACTAAGGTTTTTCACTCAAATTGATTAAAAATATGAGAACATTGACAGCAATGGTACCACACTGAACATTGAAACCTAAATTGAAAGCAATAGGATATGATTAACTAGGGTTATTTTATTCAAATTGATTCAGATTGAAACCCAAATTGAAATCAAGAGAATATGATTCACTAAGGTTTTTTTACTCAAATTGTCTAAGAATCTGAGAACATTCACAGGAATCGTACCAAAATCAACAATGAAAGCTAAATTGAAACCAATAGAATATGATTACTAAGGTTTTTCACTGAAATTGATTGAAAATATGAGAACATTGACAGCAATGGTACCACACTCAACATTGAAACCTAAATTGCGAGGAATAGGATATGATTAAGTAGGATTTTTCACTCAAATTGATTCAGAATATGAGAAGATTCAAAGCAGTCACAACAAAATCAACATTGAAACTTAAGTTGAAAGGAAGATAACATGATTAACTAGGGTTTTTCACTTAATTTCAGTAAGAATCTGAGAACATTAACAGCAATGGTAGCCAAATCAACATTGAATCCTAAATTGAAAGTAAGAGAAGATGATTAATTAGGGTTTTTCACTCAAATTCAATATGAATCTGAAAACATTAATAGCAATGGTACTAAAATCAACATTAAAAACTAAATTGAAAGTAAGAGAACATGATTAACTAGGGTTTTTCACTCAAATTCACTAAGAATCTGAGAATATTAACAGTAATCGCACCAAAATCAATATTGAAACTTAAATAGAAAGTAAGAGAACATGATTAACTAGGGTTTTTCACTCAAATTCACTAAGAATTAGAGAATATTTACAGCAATCGCACCAAAATCAACAATGAAACCTAAATAGAAAGCAAAGGAACATGATTCACTAGGGTTTTTCACTCAAATTCACTAAGAATCTGAGAATATTCACAGTAATCGTACCAAAATCAACAATGAAACTTAAACTGAAAGAATGAGAACATGATTTTTGTGGCATTACAATGAATGCTCTCAGATTGACAAACAAAAACAAAAGTTTCGAACTCAACATTCAAGTTGAAATGGAAATCAAAAATAAAAGTTTCGAAAATGAAAGATTTCGCAAAAACTATGGTTTAAGATACTTGAATCTTACTTGTTTTCACCATTTTTGGTTGTTCGGATGTTTGAATGTTTGATGATCTAGTTTGTTTTTGTGATATCTGAGACGAGATTGATGAAGGAAGACGAAATGTGAGGCGAAATTGATAAAGGTGAGAATGAAATCTGCAAGGGTGAGAAATGACGAGATGAACTGTGAATGAAATCGTGAATCTGCGATTTTTGTTTTGTGTTTTGATTTGGTAAGGGTAGTTTCGTCATTTCAATGGATTATGGGACTTACTGGTTAAAAGTTTTTGAATTAGGACTTAATGTACCATTATTTGCTAAAACGGAACTTACCTGTAAATCACCCTTTTTTTTTTTTCAAAATACTTTTATATTTTGAAATGATTGAAATATTCTTAAATAGTGTTTGGTAATATTTACAATTTGTCAATTTTTTTTTAACAAATATTATTATTTAAAAAACATATGACGTGACTAAGACTCATGTAAAACAGTCATCTTTCACTCATTTTTAACCTCCTAATTCCACCTCATTGAGGTGTAATTATGAGGATAAAATTAGGAGATGAATTAATTTCCTATTTCTTTTTATTTAGTTATTTTTGAAAACAGATGTTTAGTGAGTTACCAAAAAGGGTGATTAGAGTGTTTGGTGGAGGATAAGAGTAGTTCAAAGGGCCACGAAGTAGCAGAAGCTAAGTGGGCTGAATTGCGGGTGATCCAAAACACAAGCTGGGCCCAGTTGCTCCAATAATATGACAAAACACAAGAAAACACATTTGAGGGAAGGAAATCTGACACAAAAGTCACGAGCTCACAACACAAGCTGCAACTCAAAAAATCAAGATGTCATACCAAACAAAAAAATGTTTTGGAGCTCTGAAAAGAGAGTTTTAACGGGGAGGAATCCACCTATGATATAATGTTTGGATTTTGGATTTTTTTTTTTTTCCTTCACCGTCGGCTCAGTAGAATTTCATTTAGAGTTCTACTTTTAAAATTATCAATTAATGTCCTATATATAAATGAATGTAGAAAAAAAAAATTAATGAATTTAAAAATGAAATATATATATGGATAAAATGTAAAAAAGTTAAAATATAAATTAAATATAATTACATTTCATATATATATTTTTTTCTTTTAAATTTTTATTAAAATTTATGAGGCAAATACAATTTATGTATATAAGTAATCAATCCTAGCCCAAAATAATACATCCGTGACCCTTATTGTAAATTTACTTACCACAGTTACATTACAAACTGCTAGTAAAATAACAAGAATACAAGTTTCATAAAAACTTACAAAAATAAAATTCAACTAGTGCGCGTATCATATCTTTTGCTACTCTCTTCCACACAAATCAAACACCCAGCACCCACCTCACAATTTTCCCTTTTAAAGGGATACCATCCCTTCCCTAAGTCACCCTGCCCCCTAAACCCTAGTCAAGCTAGCTAGCAATGGCTGCAGCATCCAACCTAGCCACAACCATTTTCATTTTCTCTCTCCTCCTCTCTTCCTTCTCACCACTCTCTAGTGCTTGTGATCCATGCAGGCCCAAACCAAAGCCCTGGACACCTCCTCCGGCGAGCCCCTTTTGTCCTAGAGACACGTTGAAGCTCGGGGCTTGTGTTGACCTTCTTGGAGGGGTAGTCAACCTTGTCATTGGTTCACCACCCTCCGGTGACAAGTGTTGTCCTTTGCTCCAAGGCTTGGCAGACTTGGAAGCTGCGGCTTGCCTTTGTACCGCCATTAAAGCTAATGTGCTCGGGATTAACTTGGACGTGCCCATTACGCTTAGTTTGCTAATCAGTGCATGTGGCAAATCCGTTCCTCCCGGTTTCCAATGTGGCTAGGAAATGGTGGCCATTTTCAGCCACTTCGTGCACCACCATACTCGGTGCAGTTTATTGGGATGCTTATGACTTTTTTGTTTTTTATCTCAAAGCCCGTGTTGTTGTGAATTTAATTTGTTAGATTGTCTTGCAAATGTGTTGTTCTAGTGGTCAGTGGTGGTTTGGTGTGTTTGTACGGTTTCTTAAGTTTGTCATTGTGTTTTATTTTTGAATTTTCTTTTGATTCGGATTGTGTTGTTTAACTAGGGCGATTTGTGATTTGTTCTAATAATAACATGACAGGATTTTAAAATATTTTTCTTTTCGTTACAGCTTTGCCAATTACTAAATATGATGAATCCTATAGTGTAAATCAATTACGCTCAAGGAAACTCTCACATTTTAGTCTTTTTTGAAAGATTGATTACTAATTTGTTACATTGACACAATATTTTTAGATCAATAAAAATAATAATTATGCGATGAATGAAGTTAACATGATCTATCTTGATCTATTAAATAAGAGACAAAATCGATCCAACTTGTTTCTTTTACAATTAGGAATACCACGTCCCCATGCCAAATGATAAGCACAACATTATTCCATGAAAATATGAAAATGATTCCCAAAAAAAGGAAAAGAAAAAAAAGGCCTCCACACTCACATATGTAACAAGTGCTTTGGATTCTTTGGAACTTTCCTTGTATTTACTCATCGGCTACGTTACACGGACTCGGGTGCAGATATTGGGCGTAGGTGTGTATTTAAAGGTCGAACACTTTAAAATTAAAAATTAAGGATACGTGGATACAGATCTAAATTAGGATACGGGTACGGGGATACGTTAAATAATTATTTTTAAATATATTTATTATATGAAGGTGAGTTTAAAAAGTTTAAGGAATAAAAGATTCTGTTAAAAAAATAACAAATAAAAATTATATTAGGCATAAAATAAATTATATTATATGTGATAAAATAAATAATATTTTTATTTTAGGCATAAAAATTATATTATTTATGCTATATTATATATGATAAAAATTATAATTTATAAATTATATTATATAATATTATATTAATATAATTTATATTATATATCATTCAAATTATATTAAAAAGAAAAGTCAGAGAAAGATTGATCAAAAAAGAAAAGAGAGAGAGAGAGAGAGAGAGAGAGAGAGTGTGTGACGAAGAGACTTCGCAGAGACGACGGAAGGGGAAGACGACGAAGAGAGTTCGAGATCGAGATCAAAGGGAAAGATGACGGAGCACAATACATCGACTTCGCAGATCGATCAACTTCGCAGATCGATCAACTTCATAGATCGATCGATGCTCTGCAACCGATTGAAGTCGAAGGCCAAGTTCTCTCCTTGCTCTCTTCTCTTTCGATTCTTCTGCCGTATCCGTTTCTAAGGAGCCGTATCCCGCATCCCTACCCGTGTCGTGTCGACACGAATTCCTTCGAAATTCTAAAGAGTCCGTGTAACATAGCTCATCAGCACAGCAACAAAATACGATGAAGAAAAAATAATAATAATAAAAGATAAATATGTAATATATACTTAAAGTGAAATAAATGTCATGTCAACTAAACTGTGGATAGTAGTAGATTCATTATGTGATTCATGATTGACTATCATATATCTCATTACAGCATACTTTTTTTTCCCAATCATGCTTTGTTCAAAACCGTTCATGGAACCTGACAGCGTCTGAAAGATTCAGTTGTCCCCTAAAAACCCAAAAAAGAAAAGAAAAGAAAAGAAAGAAAAGAATAGGCCCAACCACCACTTTTCTACACATAATTCAGCCTGCACAGAACAAATTATACAATAAATAAATAATAGAATGGGTAAATAAATAAATAATTATCTCAGTCAAGAACAAGAGGACTGCAAAATAAATTTATTATTATTATTTTGTTGAGATTATTCATATCAATGACGAGCTATACTCGATGCCCATGTTCTAAAAATGCTTCTTTTTTTTCCCCCCCTTGATTTATGATGAGGAGAACAATGTTAATGGGATTATACCTTAACAACGATGTTCTACTTGTCGTGGCTCCACAAGAATATACCAGGTTCTCTCCTTGCTCTCTTCTCTTTCGATTCTTCTGTCGAATCCGTTTCTAAGGAGCCGTATCCTGCACCCGTACTCGTGTCGTGTCGACACAAATACCTTCGAAATTTTAAAGAGTCCGTGTAACATAGCTCATCAGCACAGCAACAAAATACGATGAAGAAAAAAAAAATAATAATAAAAGATAAATATGTAATATATACTCAAAGTGAAATAAATGTCATGTCAACTAAACTGTGGATAGTAGTAGATTCATTATGTGATTCATGATTGACTATCATATATCTCATTACACCATACTTTTTTTTCCCAATCATGCTTTGTTCAAAACCCTTCATGGAAGCTGACAGCGTCTGAAAGATTCAGTTGTCCCCTAAAAACCCAAAAAAGAAAAGAAAACCAAAAAAAAAAAAAAAAAAAAAGAACAGAAAAGAAAAGAAAGAAAAGAATAGGCCCAACCACCACTTTTCTACACATAATTCAGCCTGCACAGAACAAATTATACAATAAATAAATAATAGAATGGGTAAATAAATAAATAATTATCTCAGTCAAGAACAAGAGGACTGCAAAATAAATTTATTATTATTATTTTGTTGAGATTATTCATATCAATGACGAGCTATACTCGATGCCCATGTTCTAAAAATGCTTCTTTTTTTTCCCCCCCTTGATTTATGATGAGGAGAACAATGTTAATGGGATTATACCTTAACAACGATGTTCTACTTGTCGTGGCTCCACAAGAATATAAAGTGGCTTTCCATTCAATCTGTGTTGTCCCTGATAGATATCAATTGGTCAAAATTTAAGTTAGGAAAATGTCTCGTAACTCAAATTTTGTGGCTCAAAAGTGGCTCAAATGGCCAAAACGACGTTGTTTTGGCCATTTTAATGTTGTTCTGTACTCAAAACGACGTCGTTTTGGTCATTTGAACCACTTTTTGAGCCACAAAATTTGAACTACGTAGCATTGTCGTTTAAGTTATATATGGAGAGAGAACCAAATAGTAGCAATTGTTAATAGAATATAACTGAATATAAATTAGAACATATTTCAGTATACACATATTTCCAAACGCAAGCCAATTTCTTCACCAACAGTCTGAAAAACCTAGAAGATAGTTGGAGATACTCCATACATTGTGCTCGATTCAATTGAATCGAGTACAATTTATGTTCAACACATTCATTAAAAACACATTCAAAATATCATTTTAAAAGCGATAACGCGTTTGGAGATCAAAAAGAAAGAAGCATTACCTCGACCTCAGGCAACCCAACAACACACGCGCATTCAACCACCTCAGCCCCTATGCGTTCTAGAAAACGTGCCATTTATTTATTATTATTTTTTTTTTGGAAGTGAAAATAATCAGTAGAACGAAAAAAGAGAAAAATGATATAGTACAACTAGGAACGGTCTAATTGCTGCAATTTTTTTTACCTAGAAGTCGAATTGCTGCAGAGAGAGTTCCACCTGTAGCTACTATATCATCGATTACCACGGCTCGTTCACCAGGCTTAACAGCACCAACATGCATCTCTAGACAATCAGTACCATACTCGAGAACGTAATCTTCTGAAATTACTTCCCCTGCAAAATTCATCGATAATTATAGTACTGTGTCCTATATCAATAACTAAACTAGCTTTGTTTTGTGGGTATTTTTCCATAAATAAATTAAATAGAAATGACAAAATAATAATAATTATTATTTTTTATTATTAAAGAATGAAATATACAATAAACTATAGAACTAAAAAAAAAACACAAGAATGAACTAGATTACACCATGGAACATATTACTAGATGGATTCAAATGGATATATAAAATAAAAGATAAAATACATGAAAAATTATTTAAATTTAAAATTTTGAAGAATAAAAGATAAAAGATGCAAATCGAAATCTGTGTAATATCACAGTTTCTTTAAAACATATTCATTGTCTTCCGGTGGGTGCTGGAGGTACGCCAACGTCTGTCTCTCAAGAAATGATGGTTGAAACGAGCTAATGCAGAAGCACCATCTGAATAGCTTCGGTGAACTTGACAATGAAGCGCTCTCTCTCTAATAAAAACCAAATAAGGGGCTAGCAAAAGAAGATAGGAAAAATTTTCTTTGGTGTAAAATAAACATCTCCAACTTTTTATCTCAAAACATTACCTCCATTTTTCATAATAAAATCTCTCTAAAATTCTTTTTTCAAGTTGGAGGGGAAATGCCTCTATTTATACAAGTAGGAGAATCCTTAACCATGAAGGCTATATATCAATAGGGCCATCAAATCCCTAGAGTTACAATGGTTGAAAACCTAGAGCCAATTCTCATTCACAACTCAATGGTTTCGACTTATTATTTTTATATTGTAATCTTCTCACTTGAGATAATACAAAACCACTCAAACCCATCTCAACCGGCGGTTGAATCTCACTTTAATTTCGAATTAAAATTGCCAAAAAATCATTCTTTTCCAACATGTTTGACTAGCTGCAAAATTGTTCATACATACAACATCTGAACTAGTAAACCATATATGGATTCATTGGAACATTTAACTTTTTTTTCCCCTCCTCTTCTTATTATTATAGTTCCATCTAAGAAAGTGGAGTGGTGAATGTGTAAACCTAGCCCAAAAAAATAAAAATAAAAATTCAATGGAGTATATTTACAAAATTCCAACAAGCAATGGGCATATAATATATACTAAGAATCACGGATACGGACATGGATACAGAACACGATTATTTTAAAAAAATAGGAATACAAACACGGCAAGGACACAATAGTAAAATATATATTTTTATATATTTTTATTTGCTATCTAGATTAATATTACATCCACAAACAATCAATATTAACAAAAACTAACTCTAATTATAATTTTTGTTCGAAAAAACACTTTTAAATTAACACTTACACTTTATATCTTTTTTTAAGGATGATCTATTAAGTATTTAAATCTAAAAAATAAAAAAAATAAATATTTAACATTCACTAAAAGTACTAAATAAAATGAGAAAAAAGATAACTTGACATGTCCTTAGTGTGTCTCCGAAGTGTCCTCGACATGTCTCCTGAAAATAAATTAATTAATTAAACAAGGGGACACGACATGTGGTGTGCCCCATACGTGTCCCCGAAGTGTCCGTGTGTCTCCGAAGTGTCCATGTATCCAACAAGAATACGGCACTTATTTTAAAGTGTCAGTACTTCATAGATTATACATATATACCTGGCAATTTTCTAGGTTTACGCAATGGAACAAACTTTGCACCAATAGCTAAGGCGATAGACGGACCAAACATGAATCCTCTAGCTTCTATTCCTGCATATAATCCGATCACACAACAAAACAATCAAAGAAATCAAACAATCCATATTTTCAATTAAAAAAAATTCACCTATACAATGAGCTCTTATTTTAATTTTTCAAAATTAATTTAAATAATCATATAATATTTGAAAATATAAGAGTTGAATTTATATATATAGATAATACATCACAGATCAAATTATAATTATGAAGTTGAGAGACCAGTTTCTAATGATCCTAAAGCTTAATGCAATACAGATTTAGTCTCTAACCGATTTGACATTAATCTTTTTTTATGTTAAATTAATATTAGTTTACATCAATTTTAGTTAACAGATGAAATATTTATATATATAGTAATTAAAAATGTATAAAAATATTTCTTTTTATCATATTTTGATGTGTCAATGTCTTAATTTATGTCTGCATTCATGTCCTCGTCCTCGTCCGTATCTGAATTCATATTTATATATCAGTGTGCTTGCTAAGGTGCGAATACAATACTTTAATGAGCAATAATGCATGGGTGATCTAATTATAATTATGAAGTTGAGAGACCAGTTTCTAATGATCCTAAAGCTTAATGCAATACAGATTTAGTCTCTAACCGATTTGACATTAATCTTTTTTTATGTTAAATTAACATTAGTTTACATCAATTTTAGTTTACAGATGAAATATTTATATATATAGTAATTAAAAATGTATAAAAATATTTCTTTTTATCATATTTTGATGTGTCAATGTCTTAATTTATGTCTGCATTCATGTCCTCGTCCTCGTCCTCGTCCGTATCTGAATTCATATTTATATATCAGTGTGCTTGCTAAGGTGCGAATACAATACTTTAATGAGCAATAATGCATGGGTGATCTCATCTTTGAACTCTGTTTACTTGCTTCAATAGAAAATTTTCAAACCTAGTCAACCAAAACTTTAATAATCCATGTGGCCGAAAAAATTTGCCAATATTCACCCACAATAATTTTTGTGCAAAACAATTTGAAAATTCAAAAAACAACTTCAAAAGTGTTCCTTAGAAATTGAAAGTTCTCAACCAAAAAAAAAAAAAAAAAAAAAAATTCAAAAACAATTTTCAGTAACATAACAGTTTTCCAAACAGATTTTTTGTGTTAGTTTTCATTTTTTCTATAGTTACAAAAAAATGAAAACCATAATAAGCTCATGCTTTTTTCTTTATCTTTTTCTTCAGGGTTTCATTTAAAATTTTATGTTGATAAGAAAAAGATTAAAAAATATATGTAAAAACAACACCCAATTATAGTATGTATATATATTTCCAAGCATTGACTAAAGTTAGGCCAAGTTTGGGGACTTTAAAAAAAGCCAAAAAGTCAAAAAGTTACTCAAAAAGTTAAAAAGTTAACACTATTCACCAAAAGTCAACAATTACGGCTGCACAACTCCCAATCCTAATTTTCCCCTACAAACCAATTTTTACAATTTTTTACAATTTTTACAATTTTTTATTACACATTTTTCAATAAAAAGTCAAAAAGTTAACCCAAACATCCATATTTTCAACCTCAATTTTTTAGTCCAAAAAGACAAAAAGTACACTTTTTTAGTCTTCCCAAACTTGGCCTTAGAGCAATCTTTCAACCCAAATGTCAAAAGAGTACAACAATTAAAATTGCATTTTTTATTTTTTTTATTTGCATAAAACGTGGAGAATGCCTAGGAAGAACAAAAACAGGAATTCCAATTTGAAAGATTGCTCTGCTTTCAAATAGAAATAACAAAAGTTATTCGCAAAACTATAAAACCAAGTCCAAACCAAAAAAGCAATTAAAAAGGTATAACACAACACTGTGCTAACAAAACAGAGCAAAATACTACCCCTAGTACATCCGACTAGGGTAGGCAAAAACTGTATAGCAAATGACGCTAGACATAGTGTATAAAATAATATATATATATATATATATATATATATATATTTAAAATTTTATGGCAAACAATTTTTACAGAAATAGGAGACTATGTCCCCTGTACTCTTCTCCTAGGCACACAACATATCAATTTTAAATTTTTCATCACCTATTTTAAATTCTCAATATTTTAAAATATTTTAGAAATAAAAAATAAACTCAATGATGGAAGAAAAATAAAACCTTAATTTCTAATTTGCTAGTCTAGGAGAGAAAGAATGGTTAATTATATCAAGACCTCTCCAACTATTGATAAAGATTAATTTACCACCTTATAACGGAATTAGTATATTTTGATCCATTAACTTTAAAAATACATTTCATTTTCCCATTCAGAACGGTTATTTGTATGTACTATTTTACAATGAAGAAGTTAAAATATAGGAGTTCACAAGAAATGAAAGACACAAATAAATAAAATATACACACACAAAAAAGTTACAAACGAAAAAATAGAAAGTTACACACAATTATTTTTCAATGGCTAGTTAAAAAAAGCGCACACACCAAATCATATGTGATAAATATGCAAGATGAAACCCAAAGGGTGTTTTGTTTTTTTATTAAAAAGTTTGTCTGATTATTAACTTCACGGCTTCACAATCTAAAAAATAATTAAAATTTGCGTAAGTTAATCCCAACATCTCATTATATATAAAATAAAAGAAAAAAAAGTAAGTGCAAGACGAAAAAAAAAAAATAAAATTACAAAACCCACACACAAAAAGAAAAAGAAAAAGAAAAAAAAGTGTTTGTGGGAGAGAGAGAGAGAGAGGGGACAATACCTGCAACAACAGAGATGTCCATGTCCCTGTATCTATCAACAAAAATATCAACAGTGTCCTTGAAGGCCTTGTGGTTCAATAACAAAGTCGTTATGTCTTGAAACATTATTCCTGAAAAATCAATTCCAATATAGATAGAGTAATATACATACACATATGAAGTTTGGAAACAAATAGTAGTAAACAAGTAGAAACAAAGGAAGCAAATATTAGCAGAAAGAAACAAACCTCGTTTAGGGAAGTGAGGGACTACTCTAATGGCTTCAGATATGGCTTTAAGCCTTGGGTCTCCCTTCAGTCCATTCTCTGCTGCAAACATCTCTTCTCTCTCTCTCTAAAACTTGTTTCCAGTGATGGGTCTTTTGCTTTGAGTCAATTGTGCAGTGTAGTCTCTGCTTTCTCTGTTTCTATGGTTTCCAAGTTCGGAACAGAGCAGAGGAAGCAGTATTTTCCCTCCAGAAATAGAGTGGAAAAAACAAAAACAAAGCTCTGTCTTCTCTCTCTTCCCCCCTCTGAGTGTGTCTTCCATGAGAGAGAGAGAGAGAGAGGGAGAGGGTGACTTAAATAACATTTTTTTTTGCTGTTGGCCAAACCAAAGCACTAGTGATGAGAGACAGAGACAGAGATAGGGATAGAGAGCCAGTCTCGCAAGGGAGTTACATTTGATCCCTTGAGCGCGTGCACAACATTAGTTCAATGATAATTAAAACAATGCGGGATTTTAAAAAAGAATCCAATTTGAGTGACGATGAAATAATGTAATGAGCCTCAATTTTTATTTGTTAGAGCAATGAGAGGGCTGTGAGAGTTTTACCTTTTATTAGTGTTTATCTAATTTAGATTTGATAACATATATTTATTTTTTCTGTTTCAATCATGACATTAAACTTATATCAAATGAAACGGAGATCAAATTTTTCATCAAATTAAGAGAGTATTTAATCTTTCATCAAATTTTACAGATGACTATTGATGGATGGCCGGCTTAGAAAAATTTTACCAAAAATTTGCTCTAGGTTGGACGACCGGTTAGATTTGATGAAACGATTGGAGCGCAACATATTAGATCAAATTTTTATTCAAATTTAATAAAAAAAAAATTGAGTAAACGTTGAAGATACTCTAAATTGTAAGCAAACGTTGGAGATACTATAAGTTGTAAACAGAAAATGCAACAAATATTATAAACTCTGAAAATAATAATAATAAATTTATAAGTAACTTTAAAAGTTGTACCAAACAATTACTTATGGCATAAGAAGCTGTGATACAAACATATAAATTTTACAAATTATTTTTTCTCAAAAGTATAATATGAAGAAATAAAAATTAAAATAATATGATAAGAGCAAATCGATCGTCACTCCTCTTAAATTACTATAATTTGTGAATTTTTTCTTACTGTCATGAGTTGATTCTAACCATTGCATACATAAAGTCAATAATTCTGACCATTGCATGCATAAAGTCAATAGATGCATAAATTTTTTGAAAATCTTGACTAAATATAAAATGAGGTATTATCAAATTAATTTTTTTTTAAAATTAGTGGTCTTTGACAATAATTTTTTTTAATTTTTTTATTTTTTTTTCATAAATTTGAAGAGACAACTTAAATAGCTTAATAATTGTCACATTTGTATAGAGCTTGCCCAACATCATCTAATGCTCATGTTATACATAAACCTCGTGCATGCACATGAGCAAAGGTAAGAGGGAAATACCATAACGCAATGTTTAGTTGGGAGATTTAAGAAGAGATTTGGAAAGAAAAAATAAAAAGGTGTGTAAAATTATGTGAAATGTAGGTATATTTTTTTCACATTTCACTTATCTTTTTTATTTCTCTTTCCAAATCTTTTCTCAAATCCCTCCACCAAACATAAGCTAAGGGGTTTGTCCACGAATTTGTGATGCAAATGGGTATCCATTTAGTCCATTGCTCAAATCTTGAAATTGAGAACTAGAGGGTGACTTTCTTGACTAGAATTATTAGTCTATTAGATCAAATGAGATCATGTGTGATATATAGCCATGTAGGCCAAATATAACTTTGTGTGATCTTTCATATTTGTGTGATGTTGACATTCAAAGGGTTACCTTGTAGGCTTGTATATCAACCTAAGAGATGAGCTTAATGTTTATTGAAAAAGACCTCGTTCCTTGACTTTAGTTTCATGGCCCAACGAACAAAAGTAAAAATAAAATAAAATAATGGTTGAGCGAGTTATAGAATAATCATAAACGTGAATATCTTCTTCTTTTTATTTATTTATTTATTTTTTTTTAATATCTTAAAATGGACTCTTACAAACAATAAAAATTTTGTGTGATCTGTAAATGATTGTGATAAAAGTAGTCTCATATTCAAAACTTTAAGTTATAAGTAAAGATAAGGTCACTCACACTCTTTAAAAACCCAATACAAAAAAAACTGGAGTGATAAAAAAAAAAATCAATTCAATGGTTAAGTGAACATTTAGAATGGATTGGGTTTCTTTCTAATTTATTAATTGGATTGGAGGGTCTAGTTTAAAGTAATATGAGCCCATATATAGTCTAATCACAGGATATAAATCATTCAATTTTTATTGCCTTCCTAATAAATTATCTATAAGATATTGATAGCTATATATTTATTTCACGTTTGTCTTTAAAAAAATTGATTAGTATAATTTTGAGAATAAACTGTCTATTTTTTGTTTAAAGATAAATGTTATTCAAAACAAGTAACTATTGATATCCGATCAATCTCATTTTTTACATGAATGGTTTACTAAAAAAATATTAAAAATTGAGCGATTTGAATGATAAAAATAAATGTGAGATGGACCCAAATGATCTAAATTGGACTCTCTAAATTCTAATCCAATTAGAATACTAGAGGCAAGTCTTCTTGTGCTAAAATAAACTACAAACGAGAATATCCTAAAATTGACTCACTAACAATGAAAATCAGTGATTAGCTAACATACTTGATTTGAGGATGATTATGTAATAAGAGTAATTTGGCATTCAAAACTTCCAGTTAAAAGAGAAGATGATGGACACCAACCCTTTAAAAATCCAATGAAGAAAAACTTGAGTGATTGAACTTCACAATAACCACACAAAGTTGTCCGTCATTCAGGATAAAAGTACTACACATGTGCACGCTTTCATCCTTTGGAATCATTAAAGACATCAAAAATAAGATCTTTTGCGTATTTTTTAGTCTCTCTTTCTCCTTTTGCATGTCCATTGTCCACTTTCTAATCTTTCAATTTTGTATAGTATTTTCCTTTTTATTCTTTGCTAAGTCAAGGCATTACTTATTTTGGGTTGAAACTGGTGCATGTGTTGTTATCTTAATTTCTATGGATAATAATTGGAACGATAAGATGAGAAGAAAGATCATATGGACCAACAAATAAAAACAAAGAAAAAAAAGAGAAGAAGAAGAATAATACAAAGTGTTTGGAGAGATATGATCAATTTTAAATTACATGGAATTATAAGTAAACCTTTACTATTGTATGTTTGAATGTTGAATTTATTAAATAAAATGAAATTATTTATATATATATATATATATATATATAGAGAGAGAGAGAGAGAGAGAGAGAGAGAGAGAGAGAATTGATGAGAAGTCACTCAATCTGATCTAATATGTGATTGTGTATCCACTTATAATAACAAGACATATAATTAATTTGTTTAAAATATAAGAAAAAGAAGAAGAAAAACTAATAACATAATTTGGAAAATACAATTAGAAAGGTATGCCATGTAAGAAATAAATTGAATCTACTCAACAGCTTTTAATGGCTAAGGTCTTTTATTTTGTCATATATGTTATAGTTTGGATTATGAAATCCTCATAATTATCAATTGTAGACGAGGAATTATTGTGTATAAATATCTTAAGTGTGTCTAACCAATGGCTAATTGTCAAGCCATTTATCGTTCTCCCATACACAAAGTCTCAGAATTCTCTTCGAGCATTACTTTAACTATATGTCGTAAAATACCAAATAACTTTTCGTTTTAGATGGTTTTATCAATCTTTTTTTTTAATGAATTTTTTTCAATAAATTACCTCTAGTTAGCAAAAATATATTGACTATAATAGGATACCATTCTGCGCAGTGTTACAAACTAATAAAAAAATTTAAATAAAATTAAATGGACAACCTTATCTTATCTCCTACTAACTTTAGCACTAACATTTTTTGCATATTATTGAGCTGGAGATAAGTATTTTTGCTTGAATAATGTTAGTAGTTTTAAAATTTTTACTTCTTCTGTCTCAATTTATTTGTTCATTATAAAAAATTCAACTTATTAAGGAGACATGTAATCCTTACATTTTAATTTAAATTTTGAAATATTTGTCTCGTCATTGCCCTTCTATTTGAATTTTAAAATATATTTATAATGATTTATTGGGGATATTTTTGGAAATTTAACAAAATTTTGCATTTCAAAATAGAAAATGGACAAACATTTTGAAACATACTAAAATGAAAAAGTGGACCAATCAAATGGCATGGAGGGAGTATCAAAATTTTTATCAAATATCTTATATGAGTATGGAATTCACATAAAATTTACATAGTGTAAAACTTTAAGATTTTTTAGCATTTTTTTTTAGGGAAATTACGTGCATATAGGTGAGAGTTGAAAAAAAAAAATATCAATACATGGAGGGGTGCAAGTAATACTAACACCTCCATCGTCTTTCATTTACACTCTATTATAGACACACTTATACCCTTACATATTTATAATTTTTTTTTCTAACTCCCACGTTTTGGTTTTGTTTTTGGTTTTTGTTTTCCTTTTTCTCTAGAGGGATATTTTGAGAAAAACGAAATAAGGGCATTTTCGTCTTTACACAAAAATTGACGGCTGCTGAGAAGCAGAGAATCAAAGTGCAGGCCCAGCTTTGAGATTTGCCTGGCTGACCTTCACTTTTCACACCTGACACGTGGGACTCCCTTATTGGTTAATTCCATTGTGTTGCCCACTTGGCATGATCAAGAACATCCACGACAGTGTTATCCTTTAGAGACGACTACGTGTACGGCGACGATCTATTACTAGATTTTTGTCTTCTTCTGAATTTTGACTAAAATATTAATACTTTTAATAGGTGGACCCCACAGTGGATCGAGTGACGATATCACACCAAAATCAAGGTATACCAAATCGCACTTTTCGAAAGGAGCGTGAGTCTCACTCTCCGTGAGATTATTCATATTTGGTACTAACGTTTTACAAATTGAAAATTATTAATCACAAATAAAAATTAGGAAAAATGTTAAATCAGTGTATATAAAAAAAAATTATAAATCAATAGTAAATTTTATAAATATTAATAATTAAAAGTATAAATTTTTTTATGTATCTGTAATTATTTTTTGAAAAATAGGCTGAATTATAATTTCTCCTAAAAATTAAAAACATTTTTTCTATTATAGAGTGTTTTGAGAAGTTGGTAAAAAGTTTATTTTTTGGCTTTTTTGGTCTATTTTGTTTTTTTGTGAGTAAAAAATGTGAGAGGTGATGTGACTCAAAATGAATAAAAAACT